TTTTCTGGATCTTCGTTACCAAATTCATACCCAAATCGAGTCTAGATATCCCTTTGAACAAATCGACCAAGCGAATCTGAAGTGTCCATAAACTTTTCAGTCATTTTTGTCAAAATGAAACATTAATGGCAGTCACATTTCACACTGCAGTTAGTAGTTGAACAAATGTCATAAACGATGTTTTTTCAAAACTCTTTAGGTAAATCATATTCAAATCAACTTTTGATATGAAAGCCACAAGCGATTTGCTCACAATTTCTTGCAACTTTGAGATATTTCCAAAAATTTCCAGAATGAAAACTGAGAGCCATATATACCAACTTTGAAGGCTGAGACTTAGAATGACTATTTTAATACCTTTGAAACGCCCAAATATATATTAAGAAAAAGACATCAAAACTTTTAAAAGCTTCGTTATGAATCTTTTGAAAAATTTTGCATCCAATATCAGTAAAATTTCACGCGACTTTTTTCAGTAATCACAGAAAAAAGTCAGCGTGAACCAGCATGCATAACTTAGCGATTTTTATGATATGATATAACTGAGAATGCTCTTTGGGAAATCATGTATAAAATACAAGTTGAACTTAGCCTCTGCTTTAATTTTTCCTTTAATTTATCAAATATTTTCCCATTATTTATCCATCCTGTTTTGAGCTCAGCCACTCAACAGCTTAACTCTAATTGACTTTTAATGCCCACTAGTATCTAGTAGTACCCACCTTGTAATTGAGAGTTAGAGCCCCCCTCTCTCCTGCGAGTATAGAAAGTGGAGTTCACTTTTGATCTGTGGTTGTCTATTTTGGACATGGGGATGAACAGGCGAATTAGATCACACACCTGTGTGTAGATATTTCACTGCAGATATTAATTTCAGTAATTTTAGGTTAGTGAATAAGGATTTTTTGGATTCATTTTTAAACTTTTTTAATAGTAATTTTTTAAAGGAAATGAGGGCAGTTTTAACTTAAATCATTGTATAATTGAAGTAATTTTATACCATTTAAATTATGTTTTTCGCCCATGAGGGTTGAATTTTTTTCATAATATTCAGTTTCTTAATTAAAATTTTAGTTACTTTTTTTAATTTTCATGAATTTCGGTCGTTTTGTTGTTTTTCTTGTTAATTTGTTGTTGTTTATTTGGGAGGATGCTCAATCACTGACGACAAGTTGCGGTTAACTCTCAACTGTATTGAATCTGACTCTGTCTGATCAGCATGCAATAAACACAAATCAATGTCACCAATCCCCCGAATAAATTCACCCCCGGCCACTCTTCCCTCACCCCTCCCCCACCCAATCCGCCCTGATTTACAACTAGCTGCCTCCTCTAACCCCAAATCAAAGCCAAAGTCCCCCTCACAACTACTTTGGCCAGCACTCTCTAATCCACCCACCCTCTCGCCTCTTTTCCCGCCACCGCTGCTCCTTTTTTCCCTGTATGTGTTGTTGTTTTTTTCCTTTTTACTGAATTCTTCTTTTTTGCTAAAATGAAATTTTTTGAAACTTTCAAAACGAGGCGTGGCCCTGATTTTTTAAAAAAAGAAACAAAATAGCTTCTGAAAAAGATGAACTTAATAACAATATGCTGGTTGTTTGAAAACTATACCACAGTTAACTTTTCAGCACCGGTCATCTAAAATTTAACAAAATAGTAAAATAGTACCAAACTAACATAGATTCCATAATAAATGTTGTTTTTTTTTGTGGAAAAGTAGCTTTTGAGTACATTTTGTAAATAGCTATTTTGAACTATTTTAGCTGATTTTATAAGCTGTTAAAAAACTAACTTGTAGAACATCATTTTCAAAACAATTTCAGAATAATCCGCAACGTAAAAAGATGTAAGCTAATGTAGAATCTCCTCCTTTTTCGTGGAGGAGGACTGTTATAAGATCAGTTAGGTTTTTCTTGCTGCGGGCAGTATGATCATATTTAAATGATGTTCATGAAATCAAAATTCGTGAGATTTTTTGTTAAGAACTTTGAAAAACGAGGCAATGTTTTATGTGTGATATAATTTGATTACGTTAGGCTGTGTTGCCCGTACCCAGGGGATTTTCTTTACAAGATCTGAATTTATTTATTTTTTACATAATTTGATTCTCAGATCTGAAATTCTTTATTTCAGATCTTGATAAGAATGTACAAATTTCAGATCTGAAATTTGGATCTGAAATGGAAAATTTCAGATCTGAAATAACCAAGAATTACTAAATTTCAGATCTGAAATAGCCAAGTAAGAAAATTTCAGACCTGAAATTAGATCTCAAATTACCAATCCTTAAAGTATGCAAGCGTTATTTAATCAACTCACAACCTATTTCAGATCTGAAATTTAGATCTGAAAAAGATTATTTCAAATCTGTTTTAGAAAATTTACTGGGTACGGGTGGGAACAATTGGTTTACCTCAATTTTAATTATAAATTTTTCTAAGTTGTGATGTAATACCAATCTTACAATTCTGTTTAGCAGTAATGGCATGCAATTTCAACTGTTGATGTGTTACTCTTTTGTTAATTAGTACCGGCCAAAAGCGATGTAGTTTTTGAACATCAATGCACATTGGTTGAAATCATAAATTAACCAACCGTTGGAGAATTTAATTTGTCTTTCAACTTCAATTTAACCCTAATTTCAACAGTTAGACTAGTTTAGTTAGTATCTTTGAAACCCACTTCAGTTTTAACAAACGTTCCATTCTGTACAAGTAGCAGTCTAGTGATTCAAACTTAAGAGAACTAGAATTCTTCTGGAACAAATCGACTAATGAAATAACTCATGGTTGGAAGGAGCAAGCAGAAAAGTTCCACCTTTTAATTATAGCGAAAGACTCAGTAGACATAGAAAAAGCCATTAATCTACGCTACAACTTCCGATTCCCAAACAGCCTGCAGAGATGAAAAAAAAGCAGCGACAAAATAGAGAGGCGAGATACAGAGCACTGCTAAAAAACTAAACTGAAGAAATGCAAAGACACATACAAGAGGATATCGAAAAATTTATTGAACTTCAGATTGGAGACATCAAAAAAAATTGAAAAACCAGCTCTATCTGGCACAAGAAAAGGAGGGACAAATTGCTGCTCCCATATGAATGCGGGAGAAAAAAACTTCGACATCAACTTTACTGAATGTTGCCAGCTCCTAAAACCAACTTTCGTCACAGTATCAAACCTCAAATATGAACGTTTTAAATGTTTCAGTTGACATCAGAAGAACAAAAAAATTTATAAATTTTATAAAGAAATCTTTACAGAATTGGCAAAAAATTGAAATTTCGAAGACCTAGAAGCAGAACTGATGAGAGACATCTTTATCATTTTTATGATAAATGTAGAAATACCACAAATTTGTTTCGAATAACAAAGACCGTAAAATGTGCAAGCATATGTACTAGGAACCCGAATTCATCGGCAGTACCTTATAACTCCTGCTGTTGACTTACCAATCAGAGATGTGAATGTAGGGATCGAATCAACCCTCAATATCTCAGAGACCAAAAAATGTCGTAGCTGCGGCCAACTATTCAAGAAAAGCCATCTCTTAGTATGCCCTGCTCGGGAAATATCGAGAAATGTTCAAAACAAGAGTCAAGGCTTCTCCTTTGCGAAAAAAACTGGTTTCGAGAGCGCCAAACAATACTTGAAAAAAATTAAGAACTAAATTGGTCCGATTTCCGTTTGATAAAAACTGTGCCAAATATTTTGTAAGAAATTTATGGGCAAAAGCCATACTCAAAATTTCGATCATATCAAATTTGGTTTTATTTTCTAGAAAGTGATATAAATTTTTACTGAACTATGAAGTGCAAGAATGAGTTGAAAGCCTAAATTTTAGGACAGATAATTTTCAAATTTTGTTACGTCTCGTATTCTTGCCAACGAGTAAACACTCGGAAAAAAATTTCTAGCCTACAAAATCATAAACTGTTTTTATGCGAAATGCTAGCTACACAGTTTTCATTGTTTTATAAGCTTCAAAACGAAAATGTGCGACTTTTTAAAGCCAATTTGTTAACAAAATTGAAAAAAATAATAACTCAAAATGTCCAAAATTGTTTGAATTTACAGTTGAAAAATCAATTGTTTTCAAGACCTTTTTCTACATGATTTTAAATGTTGTTCTGACCTACTTGTTTTTTTTTCAACCCAGGATTTCTGTGTTTAAAAGTAAATAAAAAATGAATCATAATAAAACCAAGGAAAAATTATGCGATTCGATAATTTAATAGACAATATTAGACGTAGAATTTCATAGAATGTAGAAAATGCTAGTAATACAAATTTACACAAAAAAGTTAACCATACAATTTTTAGACCATTTTCTAGATATTTTAAATACTTAATTCAATGTACGAAATTGCAGGCGCAAAAGATTTGACAAAAGAAGGTTCTCTACAGTGAGTTGGGAGAACAAAAAAATCTTCGAGAAAATCTAGATCTGCTACTTCAAAAGGCATTTTTTGTCAACCGTTCAAACTAATCTTGATTTTTTTAAATATTGTTTTTTTATCTTCAAAAATTTAAACATTTGATGCCAAAATTAAGATCATTGTACATGTAAATTAGTTCAAAAAACGAGCAAAAATTTTTTCAAAAGCAGCAAAAAGATTTCATTTTACTAAAAAAGCACCCGCAGCAGGCAAGTTTTATCGAAAAATGTTTGGCCAAACAAACTTGGCTGTGGAAGAGACATGTTAGTCGATATTTTGACCAATCAGATTGCTTGAAACTTAGAATTCTCAAAAAACTCTAGTACTAACTCACTGATTTTATTTAGAGTGGTCGAGACTTTTTTTTAAAAAAATGGGGGCTTGTTAAGTAGATCTGAGACATTTTTTTGGCACAAGGGAGTCTTTTGTGTTATAATAGCCAGGGTAATCATTTTGGTTGAATTCCAAAATATGGAAATTGTTGAGCATCTCTGCTCTGTTCTTGGTCCTTAGTGATAAAATCTGATGCAATAAAAGGTTTTTTTACGAATTTAATATGCTACTTAGCTTTTACATAGAACAATATTTAAGCAACTGCACCATTTGAAAGTCAATTTTCAATTTTTTTTCATCCCCACTATGCATGGAACTCAAATAACAGTAATTTTGAAGAGATATTCAACAGACAAACAAGCATATTTCATCGATATAATGCGTACAAAACTATCTCAAAATAATTTAGACACTTATATTGAAATAGATCAAAATTATATTTTGCTCATTTTCAATTTTAATTAGTGTTTACTGTTATTATTAGAATAGAGGGATTATGTATGGAAGACAATCAGCACTTAGAAAACATTTGCATCAAGCAAGTTGTAGTTTTACAAAAGAAAGAAACTATTAATAAAAATAGGAAGAGAGAAAATAAAGCTTTTCGAAAGTTTGGTACTGCGAATTGGTATTACTAATAAAGCTATTAAACCGGAAATGAGCCCAGCAAAAGTCCGGGCATAACTGGGAATGGAGACTTAAAGCAAGTGATTCTCGGAAAACTTCGATTCCCGGAACTTCTCCTGCGCTCGAATGAGTTTTTTTTTAGAATTTGGTCCGACTCATAGTCACAACATGTGATGAGGCGGATGTTGTTGAGGCACCATCAAGTGCATCGCCGGATGACCAGGAATCGGGGGTCCCATACCAGGTCCTCCGGAGTGCTGCTTTTTGTTCTTCATCCTCCGGTTTTGGAACCAGATCTTGACCTGGCGATCTGTCAGGTTGAGTGATCTCGCTATTTCCAGTCTACGTTCTCTGGTTATGTACGTGTTGAAGAGAAACTCTTTCTCCAATTCCAGAGTTTGGTTCTTTGTGTATGGTCTTCGCTTCTTCCGACTGACGTTTCTGGCCATCCATGCCATGCCTCCCCCGGACGAGGGGTTCGTCCCGCCATTGGAGGGTGTCTGGGGCGGCACTGAAGTGTTTCCGGGTGTCATGAGCAGGTGGTGATTGTGGGAACCCTGTGAGTGACCGCTGGATGACATGACCTGTTGATTTCCCTGCAGAACACCCGAAGGGTCAGAGGTCATCTGAGCGTAGAGAGCTGAAAACAAAAAAAACGTTTCAAAATTGATATTTGAAAATACGCAGTTAGTAGTCATAAACAATGATTGAACACATTAAGTCTATCCAGCTCACATCAAGTTTTTTTCTGAAATGAACAATTATAAATGAAAACGTCTTTTCTGCTATACCCTCCGTAAGCGGATACATTTTGCTGCTAAGCATTTACAGACGTGCAAACGAAATGAGTCAATTGCTACTTTTTGACTCCACCACAGTAAACGATACACAGATCACTAAATCAACTTGGAGAGTTTCAAAAGTGCGAATTAAACGGCATTGCACAGCGCATTTGATCACGTATTTATGAAACTTATATGGTGGAAACGGCAAAAATGATAAAGAACCCTTTTGAGCTTAAACACAGAGGCGAAGCTGAGCTTCTCACCATTTGCGATACACCAATTAGAAAATGAAGGCATTATAAAACATGTTGCTCAAAAATTAGCAAACAGAACTGGAGCAAAGTTACAATTGACGCAGGAATGGGAAAAACGAAAAAAATTTTTTTTTTTTGAGTTGAAGTTTATTAAAGTTTTTCGAAAAGGTCCTAGTGGGGATGAGAATGGGCATTCAAAAACTAGTGACAGAGTCTTATCAATATCGAAAGTACACCCCTACATCATAAATTCAAAAATTTCTGTAAATAAGCCGAGATGAGGCCGACAGCCGATTAGCTGAACCTCAGCCGAAAATTTTTGTCACGAAATGATATTGGAAGAAATTGCATGTAAAGTCCACACAGGATCCATGACAGCTATATAAATAGCGTGTGCAAAGTGATCTTCAGAATTTGGAAAAAAAATCCGATAGAGCTTAAGTCGACAACCATGAAGCCGAATATTCATAAGCATAAAATTAGGATCGAAGCTCTATGTTTATACAGACAATGGTTTGAGTTATAGTTATAGCATATACCAGTAGTAACTATACCCAGCCAGTAGTTAAATTCGAATTTTCATGAAGTTGAGCATGTCAGCTGCATAGCAACATCAGAAGTTATTACTCTGATTTTGTGAAACTAGCTGTTAATTCGAAAAAAATGTATCTTCGGATTTGACAACGGGTTGCTTACTTAGTTTAATTTTTTATTTTTTATCAATCAGGGAGTGTAATTGAAATGACATATGCTACATTTGACAAATTGAAAATTTGAAAACGTGCAGCTGCCTAATATTTTGGACTCGATTTCAAAAATTCTCTATTTTGCATTTTGCTTAGTTAAAAAAACAATTTCCTTTCAAGGTCGGATCTGGGCTTTTCTCGGGGGGAGGGCAGATTTTCAAAAAATTTTCGAAAACTTGTCGACTCTTTGATTTTTTAAGTCAATCAAATTGATTTTCCAAGCTCTCCCATATCACTATGAAAAAAAAAACCTTAATTTGACAGAAAAAAATTGAAAAACCAGGTCAAAAATGCTGTTGTTGTGCACTTTTTGGACAACTTTGACCAAACAAATTGCGTTTTTTTTCGGCGCCCCCTTCAAAATTCGTGTAAATTGGCGCCAAAGGCGCCATTAGAAAAATTTAGGATTGATCAGCCGAAATTATATGTCATAAAAAATACCAAAGGGAGAACCCTTTGGTTGGTGAGGGGGTCGAATCCTTGGGAGAAAAAGGTGTCCCCCCTAAATCCGCCACTGCTTCCATTGAAACAGCTGAACTTTGCTTCAAAGAACATGCAAAACAGAGCCACATGTTGGGTTTTGTAGCAGTTGATGTTTTTGTGATGTTTGCTGGAAGTTACTGGAAGTGTTGATTAACACTGGCTAATGTGGCCGCGACATAACATGCATGTGCGAAACATTTTCACCTGTAGACTGCGTCTCTTGATAAGTTTTCTCATATTCCCTCTCAGAAACGCCCTTATTTTGTTTCCCTATCCCGCAACGGTTTTGTCCAATTTATATTTGGGGGGATTGCGACAAATTAGCGTTGGTTTGTTCTGGTTCGAGAATGGAAAATTAGGTTATATTTGGTTTAGATTTGTCGAGTAACTTTGTTTGTTCAGGCGCTCACTTTGCAACACAACAAAAGTGCCATACTTTCCCCTTAATACCTTTGATAGGGCGGCTCGCTTCCCGCCTAAGCTTATTACCCGTCCTTGCTACAAACGTCTACTTCCGTTGCTTTTGGAACCCTTTCGTTGGTAAGAATAGTCTAACGGGAGTTGCCCAACCGCCAAAATGAATGTGCTTGGAAAGCGATTATGTTTCAGAAAAACTTCTTGTTTTCATATCACACTTCAAAGAGATCTGTCGGCGGGCGGTTTCGGCGCAGCAAAAGTTGCTGTTGCGTTTCATCTAGAAGCAAAGATTGAGAACTTCAAAAGAAAGGCTTTGCCAAACTTAATAGATCTATCTACTCAGCCCCGCCGACAAATCTAAACTTCAACTGAGAATAAAAGAAACGAGAAGAGTTACAATATTCGAGAAAAAATACCAGAATTAAACTAGATCCTCACACGTAGCAAGAATCCCAGAGATCCCAACGTCCGCCAAACACCACCAAGCCGAATTCTCAGCCAGTCGATAACCAAGATTTTAAACATAGTTATGTCTATAAAAGCCTCAACTGACTTTGAATTTCCTAGAAGTGGGATGATTTTCTCATTTCAGCGACGTTTGTGGGATTCTGCTTAAATGTTCGAGCGTGTGTTTTCTATGTCGGCTTAAAGTATCGTCGGCTTTGCATCCTGCAGACATGGTATTACCAGCGGCTAGTCTACGGCTAAACATGGCACAATGTACAGACCGATTCATAACAAGTTTCTTTTTTGAGATCTTTTCTTCTAGTCATATGAATTATCGGAGCGAACATTGTCTTGTGTAGTTGTCAGCAGCCAATCACTTCTCGATGAAAACCAAGAGAAGCATTATTTGCTTTTGTTAGTCAAAAAATTATTTTTGAGCAAAAAATACTAGCCGAAAATTGTGACTAAACAGAATGAAAACTTAAGACAAAAACGCATGAAAATGGGGCGGCTTTTTTCTGAGATTTGATTTCTCTTATATGTAGTGACGACTTTGTTGTTGGTATTGTTGTTTTGATGGTGCATTTTTTCAAGTTGATTGTCGTGAAGAGCTACTGGAAAAACTTCTGGAGCGCTTCTGCTGTTTGCGGTGCAAGTTATTCTTTGAAGTTGTGAGGTTGTAGATAATTAGTTAATTACAAATTAATTCGAGTGCCGACCGAACATCAAAAAGAGAGTTTTCACTTGAACGAAGATGAACGCGATGGTTGGACGGTTGAAACGTACCAAGTGAAACCGCTAAGAGCACTCCACACTCAATACAGCTAGTCAAAAATTATTAACTTGGTTCACAATTATAACTAACACACCTGAACGCCGAATCCGACCGACACTTGATAAAAGTACGTATTACTGAATTACTGGCATCTCGCTAATTACACGTATTATGCGAGAATCAATATAGTAATCACAAAGAAATAATACAAAACACATACCAGAAACTGAAACACGGCAAAAAACGTTTGACAACCATCAAAAAACAACACAAACCAGCATGCTATTGTAAATGGTACACAAAAGATCCAAATACCGACGATTTAGAAAAAATTGTTCTATTTATTTACTATTTTCTATTTTATTACTCAATAAATCAGACAAATAAAAATAACCAGTTCACACATCGCGTGTGAATAAGGTCGGCGTTCGACAGGACTCGGAGAAACAATTGGTAGAAAATTGGAATTTTTCCACCCTTCGAGCAGTTGACATATTTCTAAGATACGACAGTCCTGATTCAGATTTTGATGGTGGGGGAATTCGGTTTCAAAATGGTAATAAAACGTCCCCCAAAACGATAAATGTGCTAAAAGTGGGACGAAAAAACTTGAGGCTGCAATTTATTATCGGTCGTAAAAAGAATAGTAAATTAAGTGTTACACCGATACGTTTAAGTGAGTTTGTGAGAAAAAAATACCAATTCGTCATAACTGAATTTGTAAAATTGATTCAAAAGATGGTTTCACGTCGTTTTTTCATGGAGTTCCAAGAAGCGAATAATTACTCCAAGCGGGTTGGAATTTAGGGAGGCGCGGGCTCCTTCACTAACCAAAGAGTCAACCTTTTGGTACTATTTTGTGACAGCCATTTAAGGGTCGAATGACCCAAAAATGTTTGCAAAGACGTCTTTGGCTCATAACTTCGGAAAAGCCGTTTTTCGAATAAGATCTCAAAATAATTTTGTGTTCAAGAGTTCAAATTGAAAAAGTAGTTTGAAGCAACTATTCTTATGGAGTCAACAATCAGAATCGATATAAAAAGATCAATGGTTCGGTTACGCAATTTTAAATGAAAATGACACATTCTCACTTAACAAAAGTCACGCCTTTCTAAGAGTCTTTGTGTGCGAAACATTAAGAGCAAAATGAGCAAAACGAGCGAGATAAGCGCAGACCTCATTCAATATCTTTCTAAGTCAGGAAAGCTTGAGTTTAAAAAAGGATGAGAAAAAGATAAAAAATCAACTTACAGCTGGGTGAAATGCTGCCGGCGTGTTCTGGCGAGTTCATAATATTGCCGACAGATTCAGTCGACGAATCGGCCGGCGAGCTCTCTGCCGAGTTGAAGCAGCCTCCCACTCCAAGAGACCCCCCGGAAACATCCCGCGGGGGGCTTCCGGATCCCTGACTTAGGCTCGCCTCCGATTTGATGCAAGTTTTGACGTTTGGAGCCAGCGAGTTGCGTTGGTCCGCTGCAGCTGTGTTGTGATTGGTTGTTGACCAGGAAGCGTTCCGGTTGGTTGGCGTAATTGGGGTGCCCGCTTGTGATTGGTTCACCGGTGGTACAGCTGTGACTAATGTACTCTGATTTGATTGGCTGATGCTGGTGTTGGTAGTGGCGCCGAGCAGCGAAGGCGACACGAAATTCACATTGTTCGTATGAATGATGGCGTTGTTTTGAATCTGGGAGTTGAAACTCGTTCCGAACTCGAACGCCGTTTGGTTGGTATGATCGTACGTGGTGTGATTGTTATGTGGATGCTGTACAATATTGTTGTTGTTGTTGTTGTTGTTATTAGTATGCGGGTGGTTGGAAAGGGGCAAAAATGAAGAGTTAATTACCAACCCGTTTGGGTTATTTGCCCCTGTGACCATGTTTCGGTAGTTATTAATGTGCTGCTCGTATAAGTTTAAATTAGCGGCGGCTGCTGGATTGGGCATGAATTTTGAAGTATCACGTGACCCGTAGAACCCGACCCTATTGCACCCATCGATCGCAGCCATGTTTGAGTGGTAGTAATTCGAATAGGCGTTCGCGTGGGTCCAGTACAACTGCTGCGCTTGGCTCTGGCCGGCGTCTTCGAAAGGCGAAAGCTTCGAATCGACCGATTGATTTGCCATGAAGTTTTGGGTGTTCACGTAGCCAGGTGACGCTAACATTGTATCTACAGGTGTAATTTGTTGACCTGAGGAGTTCAAGTTGAGGTCATTGACCCCTGAAGATTTGTTATTTGACCTATTCAAGGGGTCAAACTCGACCGGAAGCTGAGGAGCGGTGGCAAAGTGGTTTAGGTGATGTTGTGTTGCCGTGTTGTTGTCGTGAGTTGCGTAGTGCGCAGATGCCCCCCAACTCATTCCGATTTGCTGTGAGGCTGCAGGGTAGCTTTGGGGATGTAACACAACAGGGGGCATCAGAATCTTCCGACGACTTCAATACTAATTATAACTGGTTTGTATTAAGAACACGACCTCACTTCCAGTCGGTCCAATCTGGGATCTCTTTTGTTCCTTTTCCAAAGTGGGGGATTGTTTGGATTGGCCAAATGCTCTAATCCGAATCGACTCGTCAAATCTCGAAGCTGCTGGTATTTCAGAAATGGTATCGGTTGGGTTGCTTCAGTATTTTGCAGTCCGCTTTGAGAATTATTCGTGATGAGAAATCTAAACAGTAGATCAAATAGTTCAAAGTTGGGATGTTTCTGCTCAATTTCGGAAGGTGTTTTGAAAGCGTGATATAGCGAGATAATGATGACATTACAGTTTAGATCACACTCCCGAGATACCTAGCTGGTACACGTATATTGTGTCATCTTTCAGTTTGCTTACTCAAATCATTTCTCACTTATTTCTCCTTTTCTTATCATTGATCAAAAACTCCAAAACTAGAACAAACAATGGCCGCTCGCATTTTTTGCAAATTTTGAGAAAAGTTTCCAAACTGTCAGAAAGAAACACAACTAGCCGAAAAAACGTACAAAATGTTCAAAAAAAAATCAAAATTTGGCAAAATCAAGATCTTCTATCATTGTTAGGCTAGATGAGTTTCTGGTTTGATGAGATTAAAATCGGCGCTCAAAAATATATCTGTTGAATCTATTAAATAAACATCAAAGATCTCTCAATATTGCCTGTGTTTACTTAAAGTTGGATCAGCATCAGAAGAATATTTGTGCGATTATTGGAATTAAACAGAGTATCATCTTATTATCAGTGTTGACAACTCAGTCCATTCAACCGATCCTTATCGAGTAACTGTTTGCCCAAATATACCTGCTGTCATTTAATAACTAACTCATCCCAAATTCTACCCCCTGCTTCAGCCTTTTTTCACCTTTTATTCGACCTTCGCAGAGTTCTGAACTGATAAATTGTTGCAAAAGTAAATAAAGTTCACTACAATTCTTCTGCTAAAGTTATAACTTCACTTATGTTATCTCAAAACTATAACTAAATCGTGCGTGACCCTAAGATGACTCTTTTGTTCATGATACTAAATCAGATCCATAAAACTCCCATATATGAAATCAAAAGATCGCCAGGGAAAAAGGTTTCCAATTGATTCCAAAAGGTCAACATTATCCATGTAAGTGTTTTCTACCAGGGACGCCTTGAAAAAAGTGTGATTCCATCTCATGAAAATATGAGCAAATTATGTGAAAATTAAGTCTTAAAAATATGTGAAAACTAGTCTTAAATTCGCTTATGTTTGTTACCGCCCTTAAAACCTTTACCTTTGTCATCATCAACAAGGGGCGGTTCTAGAATTTTCTCGAGGGGGGGATTGATTTTCCGAACACTCCAAGAACACTATAACGACCCTATTTTGACCAAAAATTTTGCGCCATTTTTGGGTCTTTTTTGGAAAATTTTGACCAAAAAACGCGTTTTTTCGGCGCGCGCTTGGTTGCTGAGCGGGTCGAATTCCTGAAGAGGCGTCTAGATTGAAGAGACCAAAAAAGCGTCAAGATTGAAATGCTTGCAAAAAAAAGCCATGAAAAGCCATGCTTTAGTAAGACTTCATTGCAATAAAAAATTTTCCATATGTGATTTCTCAATCAATCGATTATTAAGACAACTCATTTCAAATAATTGCACAAGCCTGTGATTTGTGGGCAATTTGAAGGCGCAAATAGCCTGAAAAGCGATTGATTTGGGAATATTTCTAATTATAAAAATAATACCCGCTTTGTTTGCAAAAATATGAAAATTTTTGAAGTTCCTTAAGGTTACAATAATTTCAAAACGAAAAATAGCCATCACTATTGTAAACCAGACAAATGTTGAGTTACGGTCATATTGAGAGAGTTGTATTTAGACATATTTGTTTTTTGGCTGCGGGCTTTTCCCTCTGGGTCAAATTATTCCGGCTCACTTGGAAATTATTTGGAAAAAATGGAAAAATTGAAAAAATAACAGACTTTTCAAAGTGGAGGCCTGGCAATTAACACGGTTTCTGGCAATTATTTGAATAATATTGTAATTTAGCGTCCAAACAAAGCCGATAGCGCCCTTTGAAGTTGGGATAGGCTGAAAAAATTACGCCTCTGCCTGAAAATTTGTCCAACTTTTTCCTCTTTTTGCGCAAAATTAGCATTTCAGTATTCCCGATAAAGCTCACAAGTCCAAAAAAGAGACTCTCGCTTTCCCCATATCGATCCCATAAAACGTGCGATAAGCAGTTGTTTTTGGGCCGAACTTAGATTAGAACAGGTAGAAAAAGGAAGAGGCGAGATAAAGTTAGAAAATCAAACTATCCAAATGAGCAGATCACAACCGGACAACGCCCAAAAACTTGAAAAGGCGAGGAAGAAGCGCGGACGCCAACACGATAGGGAACCGGAACGCCCTAACGAATTAATGGGGAGAGAAAAACAAAAAATGATAAGAAAATTTAGACTTCTTGAGCTACCCACCCCGCTCCCCCCCCCTTCGCAAAGGGGATTAGTTTTAGAGCACAAAGTTTGCATATGCTTAACTGTTGAATAAGATCATTATAAGAGTGGCAATTCGTTTCTAGGTACCACAAGGGGGAATAGTTAGAGAAATCCGAAAACTTTTAATGTGAAGCGCTGCATTTTTAAATCAATGAAGCTCCGGAACAAAAACTGCATGGGATCTTAATCATATCTTTCTATGCACCTAATTGGAATCTTTATAGTGAAAAATAGAAAAAATGTAGGAAGTAAACATTTAAGGCACATGGTTTAAGTATTTATAATTGGGCCCCTTCATTATAGATGCGTCATCGAAAGTAAAAAAAACTTGAACCTCAAATTATTCGAAAAGCATTTGGCGCTTTTTCCGCTTCTTGTCTTCCCTCCCCCTCCCCCAGACCACCCTTCCCCACCTGAATGAAAAAGGCCAAATTGGAAAAATTGAAATTGGGGGGGGGGATAAAAAGGGCCAGCATATGCATTTCTAATCGCATTTCTTCTTGATTTAATACAGACACACCCCCCCCCCCCCCAACTATCATACCACCAGATCCATATTCATCGTTAGGACCAAACGGACAAGGCGTCTGATTTCAAATCAGAAGGTTGAGGGGTTCGAATCCCTCTGTGGTCGAACTTAAAGCGTTCATCAATTTACAAAACAAAATCAGAGAGCTTTCTTTCAATTTTTGATTTGCCCTCCTGCTTCTTTATGCGATATTTTTGATTGGTACACGCACCAGCGGATTTAGGGGGGGGGGGGTCTGGACGCCCTTCCTCAGGAATTCATCCCCCTGCCGACCAAAAGGGTTCCCCCTTTGTACTATTTTGAGATATCCATTTTTGGTGACGGACCCTAAAATTTTTCTAAAGGCGCCTTAGGTGCCAATATATATTAATTTCAAGTGGGAGCGCGCGCCAAAAAAACGCAATTTTTTGGTCAAAATTTTCCGAGAATTGCCTATAAAAGCCTTTTTTGGCCTATTTTTTCAAAACTTTTGAAAATCCGAACCCCCCCTCGAGAAAATCCTAGATCCGCCCCTGCGTACACGTTTGATTGGTAGTTTTAAGCAAACACAGTAATTAACTAAGTCAAAAAAAAGCAGCGGTCGTCAATTCAAGTTTTTTTCAAACGTAACTAACCTGTGCTGTATGTGATAACTTATTTGATGTTCAAACTGACATAATCGATCAGCTAAGTAGAAAAATTTTGAGGAACCCTATTTACATAAGAACCCGGTGAGTTCTTGGGACCCCTCTATCATAATTGTACCTTTTGATTTATAGCCCTTCTCAAACGGACGTTTTAGTTTTTACGAAAGAATTGACGAATTTTGAACTGAACATTTTCGACCAAAACTTTCAAGGTGCAGATTTTGTGGGCAAATAAACCATAGAACTAATTTTTTTCAACCCGCAAGTTTCATTTTTCCGAGTTAATAGATATAACTTACGACCGGGTGATTTATTTCTAGACAAGTATCACAGTCAAATTAATTGTTTTACGTTTATATACAGCATTTTAAATGAACTTGAGTTCAAAGTCAAAAACTTTTGTTTTCTTTTCTGGTAAATTTTTTTGTAAAGTTAGGGTTATGTTTGTTTAAAAATGGCAAAGTTAGTACTTTATACCCATTTAGTGCGCGTTTTTGCGCCCTATATTGCATGCTTGCAGTTGATAGATAGAATGAGTCCGTTTTCTAAATTTTTTGTTTCAACTTTCAAAGAAAGTGCCCAAAAATATGAGCAAAAAGTGGTTTTTATCCAGACAAATTTCGACTTTTAAACTACTCATTTATGGCGGAATTTTTTCATTTATACTGAAAGATATTTATTCCCAGGGCTCAAAATTAAAAAGATATTTCATCTGTTGCAGCTTTTTGAAAAAATTCCAACGGTTTGATTTTGAGACTAATTTGACGACTAAAAATCAAACTAATATGGTTACCGCGCGATATATTTTGTCTTATTAAAGCGTATTAGTCGAATTGAAACTTGACAATTTCAGTTTGGGCCATTTTTGTCAATTTGGAGATTTTTTAATCAGAATAAAAATTTGTTAAATGAAGAGCTTCGATCGAACATTCAGAAGGGCAGTCAGAACATTCAGTGATTTGACCTTATGCTGTTCCGACTTTCAAAAAAATGGTGGAAGCTTCATGTTCGCATTAATGTTTAACATTTTGACTTTTAAAAAAAATATATCGTTGTCTTGAGCTCAAATTTAAAAGATTATTTCACGTGTGGTCTTTTTTGTAAAGCTATTGAGTTTGATAATTGCTGATTCGGCGAATTTGAAATAGAGAACACACGAGATATTGCATTGTTATAACACGCGTAAAAAAACAAATGAAATCATTCCAAAATTAACTGACGCCAATAGTTTGTTCCTATTATTACAACACGAGACGCAAAAAACATACCTTTGTTTTTTACATGTGGTTGGAAAAAAGAAAAGAAACATTAGGAAATTTTTTTTAATGAGCTTTAAGGGGCAGTCGGATCATTCAGACCATTGCCGTGATAAACGAGCATTACTGTTTCGATTTAGTTGACGCATTATAATTGGTCCTCAAAATTATTTTATGACCCGAATGCAAAATGTTTTAGAAAAGAAACCAATTCGCAAAATTCTGATTCTCCAACGAAAAATTGGATCAAAATTTTAAAAGGAAAAACGAAAATTATGAGTCCAATATAAATACTTGTTGACTTTCGACACATTTT